TAGGCCTGGTTCAAAGCACATTAAGACTGAGCGGTCAAACTCCCATGACCTTTCTTGTCGACTTTAAATGTAAGATCTGTTTCGTCAGTGTCCTCTTCCCAGTAACTCCCTGGAGACCACCATAAACACAATCATGGTCCACAGACACTTTTCTTTCCATGACATTGCACGGTGGTGTCCAGCCAACAACGTCCATGAAGAGCAGCATCTCTGGGTAGATCAACTTTAATCACGTCATCATTTATAGTAGTAGACCAGTGTCTCATGGCCTGATGGCAACATATGACACAAGGTTAAGTAAAAAAAAAAGTCCTGAAAGAGAGATGTTGTGATTTTAATACGGTGGCTGTCAGGTGTCTCCAAAAGCTGCTTTTGTTAAGGGTCAAATTATTATTATTTTTCAACCTTCAAAAATAAACACATTTTTAGCACAGCAACACTTTGGGACAGGCTTTGTCTGCAAGTTTTACCACTTACCAAAAGTGTAATAACATTTGAAAGCAACTTGTTTTCACTTTCCGGAGAGAAGACAAGAATCAGATTGTGAAATGATGTGAAAGATATTTCCTACACATCTGCAAAGACAGAATTCACCAATGAAAACATTTGTTGCAGAGCTATCTATCTATCTATCTATCTATCTATCTATCTATCTATCTATCTATCTATCTATCTATCTATCTATCTATCTATCTATCTATCTATCTATCTATTTCAGCTAGGAGTGTGTGATGTCGATGTAGAGGTGGTGCTGCTCACACTCAGCACACACGCACACACTACACAGGAAGACCGAGTCAAAGGAAAGTCTGTTTTTAGAAAAACTCTCCTTTGAATCCACTTCTGTATTCATGGGAGCAGGATGCAACACCCAGAGTACAACCAAGACGTCAACAGAAAGGTGAAACTGAATCCTCAGACTGCGGACATGACTGTGGAGATGCTCTGACACTCGTTGACCCCGCCCTGTGACACTGAGGTGATCAAGCTGTTTATTTGCAGACTTGAGAAACTATCAGCTGCATGTCATGGTTACAGTTTAATAAGTTAAGTTCAGCACTATTTCAATTCAGGCTCAGCACCAAGATTAGATGTTATCTCATATTAGGGATTATTCAGTCTCATGAATAAAAATATTTGAAAAATTACTATATGATTATATTATTATTATAATGGGCTGTCAAACAATATGGTTTTTCCATGCCTTTAAATCAAAAACAATTATAAAAATGTCAACCTGTCCAATGCTTCCCTGATGTGCCCTCAGCTTTTGATCATTCTGTTGAATTTCTAAATTTAACACCAACAATCAAAAATATCCCAGCTGTAGTTTCAGCTCAGCATCCAGTGGCTGTGCTGCAGATCAGAACCTCAGGAGTCTTCTCGTTAGCAGCTAATTAAAAGAGTGATGTTCTCCTTCAGAGAAAACACTCAGGTCACAAAGATGGAGGGATGAGCAGAACACAAATGAGGAGTGAAGGGGATAAATACAACAACCTCTTTTTACAGTCCCGATTTGGACAGTAACTTTAAGATTTGTTCACGTTACAAGAAGATTTCACATTATGTTTCTGTCAAAAGTACGTGAGGTAAAAGTGATGATTCCTTGTTGTTCTTAGTTACGATTAGAGAAAGGCACAATGTGTGTGTATGTGTCTGAGACAGGATCCAGCTGCTGAAGAAAAAAGGAGGAGAGGAGGAGGGAGAGCAGTGGAAGCCAAAGCCATGGGAAGGAAAGGGAAAAGATGGGAAAATGTAATAAAGGTGAAGATAGAAGAGGGTTATATTTCGGCAGATGAAAGTCCAATAAAAACTATTGATTTATTGCAGTTGCATGTATTTGTAAAACTGATGTGATAATAATTTGTTTCCTGCTCACTTAACAGCATTTAATTATTACTGTATATGTAAGTCAATTTCTCTATTTATTTCAATTTTTCCTAGAGAGAAACCACCAAAAATATTTTACCAAAGAAGGCCGAAAAACGCTCTGTGGTGTTACTGAGGTAAAAAATAAATAAAAAAATAAGGAAATATTTTCAATAATAATCAATGTTTTGCACACGTTTGTCACTAACGTTTGAATACTGCAATTATCGTCCCCTGAAAAATTGTTGTTGAAGAATGTTTTGGATGTCGTCTCTGTTCCTCAGTTAGCACGTAGCATAATGACATGTTTCTCCAAGTAGATGTTGAGGGCTGTTAAGGAAAAAAAACAACTACCCAGATCTTTCACATGCAGGCAGGGCCTCTGTTTTAATCATATATATTATCTTATATTGGAAAAATGTAAGGCTCCAAAGTGAAATTTCCAAAGTGGGAAAGTAGGAATGGTTTATGGGGGCGGAGGGGACGTTGAGAACCTAAGACAGGGAGGATGTCCTGTTTGGGGCATGGGCTTCGCACTGTGGGCCAGAGTGTGTGTACATGTGTGTGTGGTCCGCTTGGACCTATTGTACTTGTTTGGACAGTTTGGTAATTTATTGTGGACGTTTGGGCGCAGATGATCATGAGATATACTGTATATATATATATATGCATATATGCAGATATAAATATACCATATGTTTATTTGACTGTGCGTGTACCTGCTTGTTTTATTTTCTATTGTCGTTAGCGTCTTGGCGACTCGTCACCTCTCACTGCTTTTGATGCTCAGCCTCATTTACATTTAGCGTATTGTTATAATGCTAGAATTTGGGTTTAGCATCACTGTGACTGATTGTGGCCACAGGCCGATGTCAGAGTTGTCCACATGACTAATTCATACGCAGTCCCCACAGGAACAGCCAGGCAAATCCGTGTGTTTGTGTGTGTGTGTGTAAGAAAAATAGCCAGTGCTTATCCACGCCATCCACAGAGTCTACACACACATTAGTTATGAAACTAAAAACAAAACATTTGAACCGGGTGGTTATCAGTCTCACCAGGAGGACCAGAAGAAGCAGCTAATGCACAAAGAAAACAACAACTCCAGATTCTGTAAGCACCCCAGATACGACAGATACTTAATGTAGCGTAAACACACAAATCACTAAAAATGAAATGAGTAGATCATTTTTTCGATTATTTGACTTTTTGTTGCAAAAGTACTAAAAACATGTAGGCACCATGACACCGTGACATGGGATTCAACCACAGTACAGCACCCTAGCCTCAGCGCCACAGCTTTGCATATAAGCATGGCACTCTCTCACATTTCCTGCTCCAATTTTGCTGAAAACCGCTGGGTCAACCTACTTCCCAGTATTCTTCTGTCAACTCTGGGAAAAAAGCTCTAATATCCTTCCTGCCTCCGAGACCCTGGCTGTGTAGGCGTAAGGAGAAAAACCATCCTTGAGGGCGACTGCACCGCCATGTGTCCCCTTCAGTGGAGTGAACTATTGTCTCCTGTGTTTGTGTCTCCTTGTTTTGCCTCTGAAAAGAAAAAAAAAACTTGCGCAGCTTCCTGGACACCTTCAGTTGGAGTAAATACTGCCTGGTTTATTCCCATTTGTTTGTTTAAGGTGGAGTCAGTGACGATGCTGCGATTGTCCTGTACTAACACAGTTTACCGCCTTCAGCCCGGCAGCCAGGCTGTGGACGACATCAATGCACTGATTGTCACCCACTGAGAGCGATGCCTGCGCTGTTTGACTCTGGGTTTATTTACATAATACAGTGATAAGAAGTGAATTATTTAGTTTAGTTTTTCAGGTTTAAAACAACATGAAGCAGAACTGTTTTTGACTTATTAGTTGTTTATAAAGTTTCTGAACTTTGCAGTTTTCTAAAGACTATCACATGATAAATAATGAATAAACTCTATATACAATACAATCAATTTGAGGGGCAACAATGAAGTTTGATAACTCCCTGTATCCTGGACCATGTGAAGAATTTCAATAAAGGAACATGAAATCACATGGCTCATCAATCTATGTTATTTTGATTAGCTAACCAGCCTCCAGGCGACTGACTACTGTGCTGTAAGTAAGTAGTCATTGTATTTGAGTGTGTTAACAATACAGTAACATTTTTATTTCGACGGTTAATATTATTTTGCAAAAACAAAGCACCAAGAGCACAAAATAACTCACTTTTTTTTAATATGTTTGTGGCACATATTATTTTGGAGCACGAGTTAACAAGAAACTGAGATGTTGCTTTGCTGAAGCATTCAGGGTGCGAAATATAAAACACCACAGAAACTTAATTTCACGCTTTTAAAGCCCACAGCAGATTGGGCAGACGAGAGACTGAAGGTGTCGGCATCTTTTTAGTGCGTTGCATCCTCCACTGACTCAAACTGTAGAGAAGTAGGAAAAAAAGGACGGAGGACAAAATAGTCCCTGCAGATTAAAACAATGTGATCTACATGGTAGATGTTCGTACGCAAACCATTTTACACGTCTCGGATGACAGATTTACAGGTTTTAATAACAGCGGGGCTTTGTTTGAAAACAGGGAGGACTACTGTGGGCACTGCAGCTGCTGGACGACTGCGTATGGGAGGAAACACCTGATGACCTTGTGATGAAACATTTATGAGAGTTGGTTTCAACTGCTGTCGACGGAGGTCTCAGCTGCTCATGACAAACCTCATGACTCTAACTGTGGGCCTCACTGTAGCAGCACAAAGACATGACCAAGGTGGGAAATCAATAAATAAATAAATAACATTCCTGACCCAAACCCATGGTCCATTAATAGTCAGAGAATCAGTGATTGGGGAAGTTAGTGTGCTAACTTGTTAAAACATAACATGGATAAGTGCTGTGTCGGGCTGTTAGTCATTGCTCATTTAACAGTGTGTCCTGCAGTGTTTGTTGTTAAACAATGAATGTTGAAAATGAATGAGGAAATCAGCATCTCAGAGTTGTGTGTGTTTCAGCAGCAGACGTCCCAGCCACTGCAGTTTTGGTAAACATCAACGACGCAGTAAAAGCACCACCTACCTCTTCACACATGTCACAGACATTAGCTTTCTTCACACAATAAGATGGGAGGAAACAGCAGTGTTAAGAGACATTTTCATATTTACTTTCAGTAGCTGATGTGAAAAGTGACAGTGACACTGCGTTGAGTTCAAAGAGCTGACAAAGTGGGAACATGGTGTTAAACTTTTTTTTTTACACTTGTGTAACACGGATACAGTACAGTAGACGGCACAACAGAGTATAACTGTACAGTTTGAGGCCTCAGCGTCTCCTCATAAGTCTCACCAAGAACTCATCATTACATATTAATTTATACAACAGCGATAACTTATAACTTTACAGTAAAAATCACGAGAAATAACGATTCCAAATACCCCGCAAAAAATGGCTCTGCCTTCTCCTAAGGTTGACCAGTGACAGTGTTTATTTTTATACGTTCAGTAACGACATTTGTAAAGTCAACATTAGGAAATAACACGCAGAAACATGGACTCTTAATTTGTCCTTTAAGGAGTCACTCTGCGATCACGGATCACCAGATTTTAAGCCATGCTCCAACAAGAATGTCCAAACTCTGTGGTCCACAGCCCAACAAGAAAATAAACAAATGCCTCAGGAGGTGGTCATTGTCCAAGCGGTCAAGGTTCTTTCTTCATGAAAACAAGGCGACAACAACGTCACTCCCTGTCGTCCACGGTGCGCTGCACAGAATATCTGAAATTGGCAGCGATTGGAACAGTTTCACGGCAGTCTAATTACACAGACAAATCAAATAAATAATCAACAGTGATATGAGCGTAACTTGTCCACAAATGTCCTGGCAGGAGTCCAACCAGGTTATCTGGTCACTGGTTTAAATCAAGAAACAGTTGGTTTCTTTACCACATCAACAGTGCCTTGATGTTCAAGGTTTGTCAATAAAATACAATGTCTCTTACCAATACTATGTAAATAATGAACCCTCTAGTGGTATCACAGCAGACTGCGACAAACCCAGGACTACTCTACTCACCCCTCCGCCTCCCAGAAGGTTCTGGGAGCTTTGCATATCCAACCAGGATTTTGTTCTAATGTTAAGTTCTCCGTGAGTTTCTGATTTAAGTTGCATGATCCTGCTACCGTAAGGCTACATTTACATTGATGAGGGGCCAATTTTAGCAACATGCAAATTCAACGGCTGATTTGCTGTAAGCTGGGCTAGTCGACTGACTCTTTAGACGTAGCCAGAGCCAATAGGAATACTGTAGTCTGTCGCCCAGAATGAGAGGTTTCCATATTTCAGATGCTATCGTATATATGGGTTTGTGAGTGCCCTTAGTTTGAAGAGGTCATGTTATAGGAAGAGTATTACTATATAAGTTAATATTAACAACAGAATCGCGTTGACAAAAGTATAACAAAAAACTTGGATGGTGATGTAGGCATCACATATGCAGCAGTTATACTTTGGTGGTGATAGTCATTTTTTCCATGACTCATAAAAAACAGACACAAAAAAGGTAAAACCCTGCTCATCCATCTCCTTTGTCCATTTTGGGTGATGGGCAGCGCTGCACGTGGGACATCTGACAAACAAACACGATTCCCCAAATCCATAGAGCTTTCCTTTGTTGTCAGCTGTTTAAACAATCATGTAGAACCATGAGCTCCTCCAGCACCTCCTCCTTTCAGGCAAAATTATCACTCCTCTTGCTGCACCAAACAACAAGCGCGATCATGGCCATTGTGAGGAAAACAGGGATGAGGATAAGGATGGTCAGTGTTTCTTCTGGCGGGTCCACCCACACCACCTGCTCCAAGGTGCAGTTGGAGAAAAAGTGCTTGTGTATGTGGATGATGTAGGTCTCCACCAGTGAATTGGGCCAGTAGCAGTGGAGGATGTGGGACCTTGTCTCAGTACAGAGGGTGAAGATGTTGTACTCACTGGGGAGGAGGGAGAGGGAGAAGGAATAGAAAAGATTAGAGGGAGATCATCACAGGGGAGGATTGAAAGCTCATGTGTAATCTACAGCAGTTTCTCACCCTCAGTGAGGCCATGGCAGATCTTACATACACTGGAAAAAAAAACCATGGTGCACCACTAAACAAAATCTTCACAAAAATATAATGACTTTCTAATTTTACTCAATATGAAACCTGGGCCTCTTTAGTTGAACACAATGGTGCTAAACTCACAGGAATTGAAGAAAGACACAAACAAAGATCTTCTTTAACAGCGCTGAGATTTTATAGCCATTTCTTCCCTGTGACAGTCCCATAGATGTGTAATATTGGTTTATGGCATGTTAAAGTGCCAAGAAAATGCAGTTGGGAATCACTGCTCTACAAGAACCAAGAAATCTAAAAACAAACTACTGCTGGGTCCAAAATAAATATTAAATCCCTAATTCTTGGCATGACTGCATACAACTCCTTCACTCCAGCACACATCACAAGAGTTAAGAATTTTTTGGAATTTGACAGAAACAGCGATACAGCCACAGCACTGTGAGAATGTGAAACAAAAATGATTAAAGATGACTACTAATACTGTTATTATTGTTGTTCCAAACAAAGGAGCAGATGAATATTCTATAAACAGTTTAATGGGGTTATTTCAAGCACTGAGTGTTTAGTAAGTCAGTGATCCCTGTGGGTGGGAACATACTCCTTCTTATTTCTTATTGCTTCCTCTTTCAGCAGGCATGTCCAGGCCACCAGGCTTACAGCTCCGCTTTAATAAATCCATTCAGGTTGCAGCTAATCCCACTTTCTACGCCGCAAATACTCGGCCCTCGAGGTACTTTCACACGAAATCCAGGGATATCGGTATTCTCACCATCTTCACCAACACTGTCACATTTGCACTTTCTTTACACCGCGTTACTCTGGGTGTTAGACTGTGAAAACATCATTGGACTGTGACGCCACAATGGGGCCAATAGGCTTGCATGTCTTTAAAGTGGATTTCCTTGAGATTTAGGGTCAGACGTCGACTGATTTTCCTGTCAGGTTCAGAGAAGCATGTGTTAAGTCTTACAGCAGCAAACAAACAGAGTGTCACTGTTACTTAGAAAGAGTCCAGAACATAAACACCATTATTGACAATCGAGCAGTAATTTACATAATATTATTTAGAGCTTCAAGAGCAGGTCCGACATTGCTGCAAGTGGACATCTGTCCTTGTTGTGCATGAGGTCTGATTAGGCTTTACTGACCTGCAGCAATCATCATCATCATCATCATCATCATCATTATTATCATTATTACCAGTTACTGCTGCCCAAAGCCTTTCATATCAACTTTTTAATGTGTTTTCAAGCATGAATGTGCCCCAGACGTGGTTAATGTTTTTAAAAGTGTGTTCCATTTCAAAATGACAACATTTGTACCTGCACACAATCTTGGCAGAACTACTCAGAAGGCAACGTCTGTTCAACTGACCACTGAACCTTTGCACAGTTCTCGTTTGTCATGTATCTCGGCAGCAAAATGCCTCATATTATTGAAGCCAAGCTACCACACGGTCGACAGTAGCAGAGGGGCGACTTATATATGTTTTTCTCTCTTCGGGAGTATGTCTTTCCTTGATGGGTATATTTATTTTTTGCCACCTTTGGGTTTCTCTAAGGTGAAAGAACAGATCATTAATTTCTTGTTATGTACTGTACTTTCTATATGGAGCGTCACTGCCTTAATGTCAATGTTGTTGTTGAGTTTTTATATAGTAAAACCTTCTTTTAACAAATACTAAATAACAACACAGGAACCATACTGTAAGTAATAAGAGCAGGAGCTCACGTACTGCTGAGGAAAATCAGAGTTTGTTCCATGACTAGTGTGTCAGAGTGAGGAAATAAAAAGGTCAGAGAGGAAAATAGAGAATGTATGCACGGGAGCTGTAAGGCAGCAGGGATGAGATGGAGCCTGAAGGGAGTTACACACTTCTGATGTTGTTACCCAGACGTTGCAGGTTTTCAAAATTCCATCCACTACACACGCTGTTATCCACTGGGAGGGTAGAGAAATGATCAAAGACTGAACTGTATGCGTGTGAGGTCAACCACAAAAACAACAAACACACAAACACAGTGGGTACCAATGCTGGTGGTCAGCACTGGTGTGGAAGAAATCTGATTTTTTTTTTTTGCTGCATGTTTTTCTCCACGGGCATCAAATATTTATAACACTCTAATAGGATGATAGTAGCTGCAGGTCTGCATTAGATAGAAGAGCCAAAAAGGCAGCGATGCAAGAGAAGTATGCATGTACTGTAGACACATGAGAGTGAGACAAGTGGAAGATTTAAAGTTGTGGTGTAAATATCAGATAATCCATCCAAAGCAATGGAAAATCTACCAAAGAAGTGAAGAAGCTGCTGCAGTCTGTGACGTACATTCATCATTTTAACCTACTGAAAAAAACAAAAAACTTGTCATGTGACATGTCGCCACATCTGTAACTACACATTTCATCATTACTGAATACGCTTCGTGACATTGTAACGGATGAGTTACTCATGTTCCTGTCTTTTCAGGGATTTCCTTTAAAAGAAATGGAATGAAAATAGTGTCTGTGGAGGCAGAGATGCCACAGTAAGAACGGGGATGTTTGTGTACCAGTTTTCAGTTTTCCATCCATCTATCCATGTTCATCCACTTATCCATTACCGGGTAGCGGGGGCAGCAGTTTCTATGACCGCCACCCAAATCACGCTGCACCGTACCAACCCCCCAGAACCGTCCTGCAGGTGGTGAGTCCACTGGAAGGTTTTCAGTTTTCCTCATGATAAATAGACCTAGAACTAACAGTAGCCCACGTTGGTAATCCAACAATTGTGTTCCAATAAAGACACACATTTACAAAAGTGCACAAAACACAGCACTGGCAGGTAATGCTTTTCTGTTCAGTTTTTATTGTTCACTGAAAATGGATGTATACGCAAAATTCTAAGGCTTTGTGATGAACAGTTACAGCAGCAGTGTGTTACTGACAAAGACCTACATTAGTTCATTCAATGTTTTTCTTTCCTCATTCTGTTATTTTTTCCCTCAGTCTGCAAAATAAGTGATTCATTAAATAGCACATTTTCGTATAATACAAGATAACAACTGCCACACATAGAATAAAAATTGCCATATTTTTACCCCTTTCTCATAATTTAAGCCAACAATAAAACCGTATAATACTTCTGATAAGCCAACAAGACTTGACTCTAAATCAGATCCTTGTTAGAATTTCCTGTGTTTTTTAATTATTCTCCAGGAAGGATTTAAAGGAAATTTGCTTGTTAATTTTTGCTTTGGCCCGCTTCACAAACATACTGAGATCAGTTATGTGGAGACAGTAATCCAGTAAGAATAAAGCCTGCTTGTCTAAATGACCACTCAGAGGTCATTAGTGACTGCAGGCTGCAGAGCAGCATCTGGCTGCACAGGAGATGAACTGTAAATGATAACCGAGGGGGCTCGGCAGTATTAGACACGGAATCAATCTCAGCTGGGTTATTTCAAACGCAGACCTTCACACAGTACATGAAAATGTGACTACATATTTGGATAGCTAGAAAGGAAAAACTACAGGTAGGAAATTGGATAAAAGTTGAAACTGAGTGAAAGGAGTGACAGTAGCAGGGCATAGAAGGAGCATACCGCCCAGGGGGAGGCGCTACAGGTGCTGGCAGCATGACAAAAAGATGGTTTGGACGTTTGGACGGTTTTGCTCTCATTAGTCCTCTGACTCACTTCTAGTCCCACCTTCAGCACTTGTGCTTCGCTTTTAGTAACTGTCAAGCTTAGGGATGAGTCACTCCAGAGATGACCAGTAGGTGTCCAAGATGACTCGTTTTAGCGCAGTGCAGTCAGAAAAGAAGGAGCAACAACCGTCTCCACTCATGGAGGGCGGGAAAAATTCAGCAAAATAAGAGTGATAATTCAGCAGTTGTGCCAAATCTGAGTTTTTAAATGTTATTTTGCAGAAACTATTTATTGACCGCTACTAGGACTCGCTAAGCTAATGCTTATGCAAACAGCAGTAGCATGAACACATCAAGGTTCTGTCCATAGTAACTAACCAAGGCTGGGTTTAAACACACCCTGGGATATGTAAATGTGCCGTCCTCCTTCTTCATTCCTGGAACAATAAAGTGTCCTTCTCTATCAGCTCCACGAAGCTTCTGCCAGCTCTTTTCAAACAGACAGCACAGTGAGCAGAAACAGGAGGCTCGTCAGAGGTCACTGCTGGTTCAAAAACATCGGGAACGTGACGGGACTCAACAACAAGTCATTTCACAGACACCATGTCATCTCTCTGCGAAAGGGAGGTCCTGTTCAATTTCTTCAGGTTCAGCTTTTATTTTGAAAGGTTATCAGTAGTGAGATGTGAGATGAGAGATTACAGGATGAGAGGCATGACAGCAAACAAACAGTGTGGCTGTTTGCTATTCTGTCTTTATTTTGACAAAAATGCATGTTTGGAGTAAAGTCATTTTCTGGTGTGAGGCTCAGAGCATCTATTTTAAATAAATGTATATCTTGCTGATAACAACTCAGAGAATATCTTCACCTGTCTTAATGATCCTTCAAAGTCCTCCTCTTCATTCAAACCTATTCATTCTTGAAGAACCATTAGAGATCCATTAATAGGCCTATATCATTCATTTCTTTGATTAAGAAAGAATACAGCATATGTGTGTTTGTATGGGTGGGTCTGATTATGACGAGTGGCTGAATGGAGCAGCAGGCAAAGCAGGTGATTGTTCTTCCTTGAATCATTTCATCGGTTTCCTAGAAAAGCTGTGACTCAGACTGTTGTTCCAATAATAATCTCTACTTTCCACATGGATGTTATTGTGCAAAATGTCTGTAGCTCATTGGTCAGAGGAAGAGGCAAAACAGATGAATGTGAAAAGTCAAAGGTGAGGGGAAGGAATGAAGTGAAACGCAAGATAATGATAGAAATAGACTGGTGGTCCCAAGCCAGATGTGTTCTGCTCTCCAAGCAAAGGAGAAGTTTGGGGGATAAAGTTTATTAATAATCAAGTTACAAAGAAGGAAGAACAAAATTAAACTCAACTATAAATATAGATTTACTTACAGGAAACACAAAAACTACAACAACAAAAATCATTTTCAACAGGAGGCGGTGCTTTGGTGTCAATCAGGCTGTATATTAAAGTGAAATTCACTAGAGGGCAGCATTGCAGCCTATATCGGTATCGGTTAATATCGGAATCTGAAGTGTTATACCCTAGTTGTTGGACCTTACTCAATGTACACCTGCAATTTATCAGAGTTATGAGATTGAATACAGATGAGTGTTTATTAAATCACAGGTCCTCAAATGAAGGTCGACTGACATTTCTGAAAATGTCAGAATCAGTATGAGACCACAGGAGAAAATGACAGCGATGGCTGCTAGGTCAGATCACTGCAGGCCTGACCGAGCAGCCACAGCTCCCAGTAAATACTCCTGCCGCTCTGATTGTTCATAACCCTAAACCTTTTCATGGTATTTTTAACAGCGCACAGAGATCGGGTCTGAAAACACTCTGTTCAGTAACACATGCACTGATGGGCAGTAAATGGAGCAGCAAACAGCTGATGGTTGGACTGTGGGTAATGAACGTTCACATTTGCTCATACCTGATGAAGTGTGAGAGGTTACACCAGTGCTGAGGATCTATGCGAGCCATGTCCCGCTTGAAGTCCTCCCCGCAGACCTCCACCTCCCACTGCAGCCAGGACTCGTTGCAGAGTTTCTTCGGTTGGGGGGTGGTGGGTTCGGTGCTGAAGCCATCGTCAGCTGAGAATACACAGATTGTTGAGCTTTTTTTTTATTTTACACATGCATATGTCTTCTTCAAAAACAGCCATGACGTCAGTTCATATGTTTTTTTGCACTAGAAAGAATGGATGCTTACCAGACAGCCCCCCCATAATCCAGACATTGGCTGTAAAGAGAAAACAGAAGGCGGTGTGAGTTGTTGTTAGGAGTTACTTTGACACAACAAAGTGAAAGAAATGTGTTTAGCTTTAAGTCTGAGATTAACAAAGAGGCATCTGTTCATCTATTTTTTTACTGTCAGTCAACAATTCATTGAAATAGTAGCAGCAGACGTTTGTAGACGTTCGAAGGTGAAGACAGTTAAATCTCAGGTGTAGTCGGTTGTTTCACACAAACGTCAGTAACAAAACAAAGTAACGCCCATCAGCCGTTCTCTGTTCATTCCCACAGAGTTCATTCACCTCCGAACTCTCCTTTTTTTAGCCCGGTCGTTACGTGTGACGAGATCTAAACACGCGGCTGCACAGGAAGCTGCGTCTCCCTTTGAAATGTCACATTTACAAACTCAGTTTGAAAGAAGCCCCGCGTGGGGCAGGTTAGTGAGATATTTATGGACTCTTTCCTGTTCTATTCTCTGAGGATGTTTTGCAGTGGAGAGAGGTGAGATTGTATGACTAAATAAATCCATGTCTGCTCTTCCCTGGTGGATCACTGTGACCGAGACAAACCTTTTAGTAAAATTTGTAAAAGCGTTTTTGGGTTTTTTTTATGCATTTTGCATATCAGACACTTGCAAGGATTTCAAAATAGAGGGAAAGCAAGCGCGCTCTGGAGATAAACAAATACTCAGTATAATACATTCATGGTGCAATACTTTCCAAAACACTTGGCAATATTTGAATTTCCATGCATATATTTGTGTTTTAAAATGATGTGGCTGATTCAGAAGAATGGACCGGTCAGTGCTTTCACTGTACAGTATTTTCCTCTGTTCAGTAATTGACTGGAAAACTCACCGACTTCTGGCAGTGGCTCCATCTGAATATTTGAATTATTTAAAGGCAAGATATTTTATAAGGTGTTTAAAGTCCCTGGAACGTCTACTAACAGAAATCCCCCAGAATAGATCGCTTTGAGTAGAGCTCCATTCTGCTGATTCTTAAGCAATGCTCATTAAAACAACCATCACATTTTATTTTATTCCTTTAGGGATTTGCATATGTGTTACTAATGAATTTGACTCATAGAAACAGACTTTCTAAATTGTTTCTAAATTTGACTCATAGAAACAGACTTTCTAAAAGTTTCACAGAAACAATTTCTGGAAAGAAGAGAATGATTTCTGCTCTATTGAACACAGTGATATAAAAACATCTAGAACATGAACTAGTTATCTTAACTACCCACTTTTTGGTAACCTTGTGTGTGCTGTCATCAGATAATGAAGCCTTCTGTGTGCAGCAATTACATCAGGCTATTTTTTACAAAGACACTGCAAGAAAAACAACATTTTAAAGAGAGGCTGGAGCTGAGCACCAATAGACTGAAAATGAAAAAGACTTCTGTGTAAAAATCTTTATCAAGTCTGTTTATAATTCAGGTCACAATAGTTTCAAAATGGAGAAGAAGTTGTTTTGTTTACAAAAGCAGGCGTTTCAATGTAAACTAATGGGTTGATTTTAAAAAACAAAACAGAAAATTATAATAGCAGAAAAAATAACGCCTTTCAGATCTGACATTTTACAAATATAAAAAAATAATTGCTTTTTTAAATCAATATAACCCAGACTGAATACTGTTTCAGAAGTTTCTTCTGAGGGCTCAGAGCAACGACACACGTCTTCTGTGATTTTTGTTATCGACACATCACTTTAAATGCTTCATTCAGCCTCCTGGTTCCCACTGGTCTGCTGTGGCACAGGTTTTCTCCCAAACATTTTTGAGATATCCAGACGAGCCGGTGACAGAATGTCCCTGCCAATAACCACCAGTCAGCGTGTGAATGATCCTCTGAATGTCTTTCTGTCTCCATCACCTCGGCGATCACCTCCTTATCTGCACTTACTCTTAACAAGCCTTAACCGAGTCTTATTTCTGGAGCAGACACTCGGCACCAAGTGTTCGTGTACCAAGAGTTATTCATAAACACAATCAGGATGTAACCAAAATAACCCGCGGTGACATTTTAGCAGCAGGATTCCCTTCGGTTGAAGCTCTTCCTAACAGCGTGAGGAAGTCTGAAATTAAATCAGCCCCATCACCTCTGTGAACTCAGCGGACACCGGCAGACATCAGAGATGCACGAGTGTGTGTGTGTGAGTGAGTGTGAGAGAGAGAGATTTGATGAAGCTGCATAGTGATTAATTCCAGAGTATGAATTATTGTTGCCTGGTGAATCATTCAGCCCGCGTCGTGTCAAATTAATAGCCCACTGTGGATTTAGACAGCAGATGAAGTATCAGAGCACTGACGTGTTCAGTTTTTATCGCCACGTCAAACTCTCAGTGATGAGCACAGTGAATTCTTGTGGAGTGCACTCGAGACCCGCAGGAGGGAGTTTTCCATCAAAATATTTTTAATCTCTGATTTTGGTCTTTCTCACCCTGGGGACATATTTTCCCTTCAGTTGTAAAATGCTACATTGACAAACTGAACCATTTATATAGGACACGGACGTCGACCACCTGGACTTCCTGTGTAGCACTGAAAGAAAATGTCCTCCATGAAGCACCTCTCCTTCTCTGTTTATCAATAATATATTAATGAATTATATATATATAACTGTGATTTATTAATCTTTCAGGGTAAATTACATTTTAGTTTTTTCTAATTACTAATCATCAGTGAATGCATTTAAGTTTTTGGGTTTTTTTTTTTTTAACAGGAACGCAGGTCAGCAGTTTAGGTCACTGTGGCTACTGAAGCTAAGTGTAGTTAGTGTCAAGTGTGTTAAGTGTGTACTGTAGCTAAATGCAATGTGGGATAAGCATGACGGCGACGGCGAGTCACACTCTCCAAGTGGAGAGCCTCTGTCAAAATGTTCACGGAACACACTTGAAAGTTCTACTTGGTGACTATGTTGGATACGTTCTCTGTTCAGGGTGGAGAACATATTTAATTTGTGTATTGATCATCTACATACAAAGAGAAGGTATCAGTATAGTTTCCACAGTGAGAGTGAACCACTGATGCCTTTCTTCAGTCACATTTTCCTTCCTAACGGTAATGTTATTTTGGCGCTCCGGTTTTACAGCTCCACAAATCTGTCTCTCGTAGTTGTTCGTCACTTGTCAACAACTGACCACTGTTTTTGCGTCATGATGTCAGTCCAGTTTTACACTGATGTACCGTATCCCTTAGTTTTGACCTCTACACGCAGCCTCTTGTCGTGCCTGCGTCTGTTCGTTTACGAGCCCACAGCTCCTCTCTGGGCTGCCAACCGTAACTCTAACCATTCCTCCGCAGAGTTTGAATCACAGCTGTGCAATATACAGTATCTCTCCCTACTGCTGCTATCAAACATACTTTAAAGGACCATAGCTGGAAAATGTAGCAATTTCCCTTTTAGTTAGTTAGTATAAGTACTATACTAACTATTGTTTTCTCATGTTTTATAGCACGAAGAGGTACTCAACAGCTATGAAGAGAAATGCCACGATCTAAAAATATCGAGACCTCTTGGATTGAGCGCCTGATAATCAGATGGAAGATGATTGGACCACAGCTGTCTCCAATTACACCATCTGAATCAAACTGGCACAAAAAAAACAGATTTAGATTTATTTTTTTTTAGCCATCTCAGAATAAAAGAAGATTTGAAAACAAATTCTTCCACAGTAGATTTCTCTGGAGTGTAGAATTCTACACAGGACTGAAGCTTTAGATCCAGGTCAGTCGGCATCAAAAAAAAACAATTATGCTAATGAAGAAAGTCTCTCATAGTCGTTGCACAGATTTCTTTTCATGAACTAACCAGTTCAAGGAGTGCTCTACAGAGGCGCTGACTGTCAATGTCACCATTGAAGTTTCAAAGCATCACGGCGAGCGCTACAGAGTATCATGTCTGCTCATTAACATTTTAACAGCTTATTTTATGAGCTCTTCTCTCGCTTTAAGTAGAAAATTAGCTCCTCTGTTGTCTGGACAAATGAGTCCTTTTTTTATTCGTTAGTACACTCCTATTATGTACTGAGTGAATTATGACAATAAACAGAGCTGTAACAGACAGGGCCAAAAGAAAGATCCCTGGTAATTCTACTGCTGCACTGATAAAGGAGGTAATTACTCCAACTGCAGGATATTCTTGGTTTAAAATTAGAAAAGAAAATCCGCAGCCTTTAGTGATTAGCTTCCCAGCTTTGAGGAGAATGTTGGCACTGATAAAAAATAAATAAAGTCCTAACAAACATTCCAATTATTTATTCCTAATGTGTTTATTTTTTATCTTTTATTTGCTTTACCTGGCAGGCATATAGGACTGTTATTTTTTATATTTTATTATGAATAATTATTATTTTATTTTTATTTACTTGATTTGCATCATGTGTTTAATCTGTGTGTTTTAAGTCCCATACCAACACAAAATTAGAAGGTGGACAGTGAGCTTTTAAATAGCTAAATCGATGTGTGTAGGCGAGACACATTGGCTCAGAGAGCCCGTCCAGAACTGGCTCAGCTGGCAGACGGTGTGCCAAGCTGTCAGCCACGGCCTGTTAGTTTGTCAACATAAATATAGATGAGAGAGTGGGGAGATAAGTGCGGAAAATGCCAGCATTGTCGGAATAGACTAAACTGGAACAGAAGTGACAGATCAGACACTTTATGTCTGAACAAACAAAAAATCTCTCCAATCGATACGGCTGCTTAGACTTTATCTGAACCATTCTAATGTTATATGATAACATTAATAATTATGATTCTTATTGATAATTTTATTATTATTGTCATTATTAATATTATTACCCAAATAACCAAACAAAATAAAACCTAATAAAAAAATTTAAACAATATACCCTAAACCAGTGATTCCAAACCACTGTGCAGTGGTACACTAGTGTGCAGTGTGAAGTATTATTTAATTGTTGCGTATAATCTTTCTTTGCTTATCAAAGCATGAAAGGCAGATCAATTCAATACTCTTCTGCTAAATGGCAGCAGATGGCTTTG